AGCATGTCCCGTCACATATTCTGGCCCTCAGGACAGAGAATGTGGGTCTTATCCACTGCTCTACACAGAGAAAGACCTTAAAAATACTGAAAAATGATTCCTAACCAGCAGTCATTAAGGCAATGCAGTGCTTGTATGAACATGGATTACAAAAGTTCCAACCAGTGTTCATCTGGGGATCTGATTTTGGGGAAAAAAAATTCTTTTTTGCTTGAAATCTCATTGGCTTTATCCCAGGTTTTATGCACAAAAAGTGACAGACTATGCTGAAAAGGCAGAGACAATTAGGAAAAAAATGATCTGGGAAACAAAGGAGTTAAAAGATGGAAATATGGTTCAATTCCGAAGTTCACTTCTCCTTGTACTCGGCATATTTCTGCTTCACTGCTAAGGGTTATATTCAGGGAAAGCAAGGATTGCCAAGGCTCTTGTAGGAACAGCCAACCTAAGACTTTCTCATGATTTCCTGACACACAGTGATAGTTATTAAAATTGACCACCAAGTGCTATGGAAACATTAATTTGTGGAGAGACAGACTCTCAGAATCCAAAGGTTTCCTCCGAACAATCTAAGAGCAGAGATGCTGCATTCATGAACTCTCGCCTGGACCAAACGCTGGAGGCTGCTGTGCATCCTCGCCCGCTCAGAGCCAAAATGAGCCAGACACTTAGGAAGAACTGATCACTCTTTGTAAGTGTCAATGCATAGAAGGCATTTAAAGACCTTTATCTCTTTCTCATTTGCAGATACATAATCGTAAGTCCCAAAGAGCCAAGTTAGTAACTCCAGCAAAAACTGAATTATCAGAGATTTTGGTCTCAGCAGAAGTCACTCCACAGTCTGAGCTAGAAAATGTACTCCCCTGAATGCCCAGCTTCTTTTTATTGCCAGGGACACACTCTGCTGGCCTGTAGCCCTCAACTGTATACAGTAAGACCCTTTCCTTTGATCAGGGAGTCTGGGCTGTGTTCTGAAAATGACAGGCTGTGACACACTAGCAGGTCAAGAAATCAATTTAATGCACCATGACTAGCTTTTCTTAAAATGACATAATTTTTTTTTAAATACTGGGGCAAATCACAAGAATGAGACAACTACTGTTTCATGAAATCAGTTTGTTCACTTATGCATTCGTATGTTTGTAAGTACAGGGTGGTAATGAAAAGTGTATCCTTTCCTAAATTTAGGGCGTGGTCAAAAGAGTTTAAAAGGTCCAGTAATCATCAAGATACTGTGTTCAGCTGCTGGTGGAAGTGGGAATTAGGGTAACCTTTGGTGACGATACAAGTATCACTTCAATACTTGATCTCAAGGAAACAATCACAGTTATGCAAAAAAAAAAGCTACTAAACTGTTTTCTATAGCGTCATTTATAATAAGGAAAACTTTGACAAAATACTGAAGGATTAGTTGAATAAAGTATGGTGCATCTACATGATAGATGGTACCATATAAATAGTACCAATCATTAAAACTTCACTGCAAAGGAGCGATCTGAAGGGGTAACCATTATCAGCTCTTTGATGAAAAGGAGAGGTTATAAAATTTTAAACACATACACACACAATGCAGAGAAAGAATATAGGGCAGACATTAGCAATCATCCCTGGGAAGGTATAATTGTGGGGTGCATTTACTTTTTTGTTGTTTCTTTGTACTTTCAAAAATGTCTACAGTGGACATGCATTACTTCTGTAATTGGCGAAAATAATACAGTAAATGTGACTTCAAATATGCTTTAGTCAGCAAAGAAGCTGCCTTCCCCAGATGATGCTCACTTCAGGCAACGGCAACAAATGTTCAAGTTAGCAGTCAAGAGAAATGGGATTTATACGGGGGGTGAGTTTAAAGTAGAGGCAAAAATTAGGCGCCAGCTGTAGCCGGATCTTGATGAACTGTGCAATGATTTCCCAGCCCAGCCCTCTTATCAAGCCTCTGTTTCCTAAATTACTCAACAAGTGAGCTGTCAAGATGACCCTGTGCAGGATGTAAGGGCACTGGATCCCACCATCCTTCTGAATACGAGCAGCCTAGAGGCAAGGCTGGTGTTCTTTCTCCCCAAAAAGTAACAGCAAAGTCAGATGTTTAAGTAAAGTGTTCAGGGTAGGAAGTAATAATAAAGCAAATACAGACCCAAGGGGCCAAATTTTGTGGATTAATCTCAAGCTGCAAGGGTAAGAAAGAGAAGTGGATGCACAGGGCAGTTATTCATTTAGTCAGTCGGTCCAGTCATTCATTGAGTCAGTCAGCCCATCTTCCCATCACTCTATTTGTCCGTCAGTCAGTCTGCCTGTCAGTCTGTCATTCGGTCAGTTAGTCAGTCAACAGCTGCTTCCCGATACTCCACACTCTAGTCAGAAGCAGGGCTGTAGTGATCAAGGACTGGGTCTCTGCCCTCTCTGCCCTTATAGTCAAACCTCGATTTACTCATTTGTAAAATAGGAAAAAATGGGAACAGCTAATGTCGAGCACCTCCTACATGCCAAGCCCTGCACGGAAGACTTCGTCTTTATGAGCTCTGTCAGCTCCACCGCGTGGGTCTGGGGACTGGCGGTGCCAGCTGAGCACCTGCCTCGGGCAGCAGTGGGGTCAAGCCTGGTCCTTTCTTTCACGTTCAGTTCTGGCCTTTCTCCTTCAGTCCTTCCACCCGCCCCCATACCCTCACTTGGACCCAGACCACACCTGTCCCCGTGTCCTTAGATGCACCACACGCACCCACACCTTCATCCTGTGTGCGGGGGTCCCTTATCCGGCAGGTCCTCCGACCCCCATCTGGGAAGCTCTTGCTCATCCTCTAAGCTGCTAAAGGACGCTGCTCGGGGACCCTCCCTGAAGTCACCGCGTCTTCCCAGCCCCAGCTGCTGCGCAGAGCCTGCCACGCCACGCGGGGCTCTGCATCCACCACATGGTGTTTTTTTCTCTCCAAATCCCCAGGCTGGGCACACCATACACATGGCCGCTGCCCCGTCCTGGGTTCACATGTGAAGCATGTTATGCTCATCACCTCACATAACTTAACCCTCACGGCCTCTAAAAGGAAAGCTTATCTTTATTTTATATACAGGAAAGGAAGGTGTAGAGAGGGGAGTAAATTGCCCACGGTCACACCCAGGGTTGCTGGCTCCAAAGCCAGTAAATGTGTGTTGAAATACATTTTTTCAGAAGCAAGACCTACTTAGACCTACACGCCATAAAAGAGGTGGCTTTCAGGACCATCTCAGCAGCCCCCAGACTTGGCCACACTTCACCCCTGAGACCGGCCTGCAGAAGATGCGGTGGGTGGAAATGTAACTTAAAACAGTTAGAAGATGCTCATGCCTTCCTTTCAACAAATATTTGTGTCTGCAAACAGCCCTGTGCTGGGTGTCAGATGGGTAGCAGGGAGGAGAAGGGAAGGGACATCAGTGGAGACCAGAGCCCTCTGCACCCAGGTTGCCGCAGAGCCACTGGGAAGCAAAGCCGTGGGCAGGGCCCTCCATGGGCAGGGCTCCTCTATAATGTGGCGGGTGGCAGGTGGCGGGTCACTTCTGCGCTGCCGGGTGGTGCTGGGCAGCGGAGAGCAGGATGGGGCAGGGCCACCCACAGGATGGGTGGAAACCAGCCTCCTGGCAGGGGCCTCCCGACTTCTGTCACTTAGGAAGGTCATCATGAGCCAGCGCCCCCTGCTGCCTCGGAGGACCTATATGCCTGGCCCAGTGGCGTCTCGGCACCAGTTGTCACTTTATTCCCGATTTTCTCTCTTTTCCAGGTGGACACCCCGTCCCAACCTCATCCTCACCGGCAAAGCAAGCATGTCCACCACCACCACCACGATGGACTCGGAGCGCACGCCGGAATAACCATGGTGCCCTGCACCACGGGCACTTCTGTTCTCAGCCACTGCAAGAGAAGTGACCGTGCTAGCCCTCAGATGAGAGGACATGGGAGGCCCTCATCCTCATCCACCTCATTCTGGCGGGGGAAACCTCTGCCCCTCCCTGCCCCTCCGTGGACCCCAGCTCTGCCGAGTTCCAGAAACTCACCCTCCCCTTTTATTTCATGCAACTCCCTTGACATGCTCTTGACCCTTTCTCACTGAGGCTGAGATTCATCAACCTCCCCTTCAGGTTCAGAGCTGCTCTTTTTAGGGAAATATCCATTCAAGCTTAAGATTAAATTCAGGCTGAAGGCTCCCCGGGGCTCCCTCCATCCTCCTCCTATGGCCCCCATGCCGATGAGGAGGTGCAGTCCGGGGGGTCACCCACACAGGCCTGTCCTCTAGGGCTGAGCCTCAGATGCCACCACAGCCCATGCCTGCAGCCCTGCCAGGCCACGTGCCCCAGGCCCACAACCACACATCTCCCTGTCCCGCCCTCAGAGACCCCACTTGGGTCCCCTTTCTCACCAGCTCTGGACCCCCACAGGGGTGCAGAAAGCTCTTGCATCCTGCATTCTGCAGGCACCCCCACTCTCCAGGTCACAGGGGAATCGGGCGCAGCTCCCAGCTGTTCTCAGAGTCTCCAGAGATTCATGCTGGGATTTCTCACACCTCACACCCCTCCCTGCACAGTCCAGTCTGAGCCCTGGGCTGGGGACATTCTAAACACTCTCCAAATGCTTGGCACGTCCCCATCGGCCTCCTTCCCAGGGCAGAATCCCCTGGAGTCATTTCCTACATTCTCGCCAAGGGATTAAAACGTTGGAGCAGAGCTTTGATCATCGGACCCTCATTGGCCCTTTCCTATTACTTGTCAGAACCACCACCACCACCACCACATTTCATGATATTTACTGCGGGGCCTCCACGGCCGAGCATTTTACAAGCATGGTCTGCATCGATCTTTGCAGCATCATAGGAGGTGGACATGCACAGAGGACAAGGTTAAGTAATGCACCGAGGGTCATGAAGGCAGGTGGGATTTCCAGCTGGTTCCAAAGCCCAGCGGCCACGCGGTCCCACCGCAACAGGTGCTGTGATGGCGCGGACCCTGCAGGACTGGCGCCCCCGGGATCCGCTCACCATGCCTCCAGTGCGCTCCCGGCAGTCCTGCAGGCAGCTGATGTTCTCCCAGGTGCTGTAGGCCTTCAGCCCCACCACTAGCACCTGCAGCGGGCGACTGTTGACAGGCTCCTTCCCCAGGAAGATGTCCTCGTCCAGAAGGACGCCAGCAAACCTGCGAGACAAGCAGAGATCAGTGATGTGAGCGGCAGTGCCCCAGCACGCAGGCTCAGAAGAGAGGCTGGACTCGTAATGTCTCTGTCTGGCTTTTGATGTCAGGGTAGCGCTCCTAAAATTAGTTAGTTTCCCCTTTTATTTTCTGCAAGAATTTGTGTAAAATCAGTATGTTTTCTCTTCTTAAATATTTGGCAGATGTCACCAGTAATGCCAGGCAAAGCTATGCAGGTTTTCCATTTCTTTTTGTGTCACTTCTGGTATTTATCTTTCAAGTAACGTGTCTATTTCATATATGTTGTCAAAGGTGTTGGCACTGATATTATGTCAATAACAACAATAATAGTAATACTTAAGTTTATCCTTTCAGTGTCTGCAGGATCTACAGTGATGTCCTTTCTTTTAGTTCAGACAGTGGTAATTTGTGTCTGTTTTTTTCTGGATCATTCTCGCTAAAGGTCTTTCAATTTTATTTATTCGTTGAAAGAAAAAATAGTTTTGTGTTCCTTTTCTTCTCTACTGTTTGACTACTTCTTATTTCACTGATTTCTGCCCTCATGTTTATTATTCTTTCTAATTACTCTGGGTTTAATTTTTTCCTCTTTTTCTAGCTTCTTAAAATAGAAATTTACACCACTGGCTTTAGACCTTTCTTCTTTTCTAATGTAAACACTTAAAGGTATACGTTTTCCTCTAAGCACTGTTTAAGTTGCATGCCACAAGTTTTGAAATGCTGTGTTTCATTATCATTTTGTTCAAAATATTTTCTAATTTCCCTTGTGATTTCTTCTTTTGACCCATGACTTATGTGTGCCGTTTAGTTTCCTAATATTCAAGGGTTATTTCAGATATTTTCCTGTTATTAACCTTCAATTAATTTCATTCTAATCAGATGACATACTTTGCATGATTTCAGTCCTTTTAAATCCACATGGTCTGTCTTGATAAATGTTCTGTGTGCACTTGAAAGGAATGTGTATTCTGCTCTTGTTGGGAAGAGTGTTCAATAAATGTTATTTAGATCAAGTTTGTTCAGTCATGTTGTTCATGGGATTTATATCATTACTGGTTTTCTGTCCATTTATCATATTATTTACTCAGAGAGAAGGACTGATGCCTGCAGCTATAATTTTGGATTTGTTCATTTTTCCTTTCAGCACTTTCCATTTTTGCTTCATGTATTTTGATGCTATTTTGTGGAATTCACACACATGGAGACTGTTACGTCTCCTTGATGAGCAGGCTGCTTCATCATTACGAAGTGATTCTCTTTATATCTGGTGATACTCCTTTTTCTGAAGCCTACTTTGCTAAATGTTAGTATATCCACTCCAGCTCTTTTATGGTTAATGTTTGAAGGTGTCAGTTTTTTATTCTCATATTTTTAACCTCTTTGTCTTTCATTTTAAGTGGGTTTCTTGTAGAAGGCAGACAATCTGAAAACGAGCATCTAAATCATTTACACCTAATGTAATTATTAACGTGACTGAGTTTTAAACAATTTTCCTGCAATTTTTCCCCATCTAACCCATATGTTCTTTGTTTCCTTTTCCCTCTGCTCTTGTCTTCTTTTGATGAACTGAATAATCTTTAGTATTCCACTGTTAGATTTCTAACTGTATTACTCATTTTTTTCCAGCAATTTTTCTACTGCCTAACACACACATCTTTAACTTAATCACATTTTTCCCTCAAATAATGTTATGCCACTTGAAGGCTAATGGAAGAACCTTGTAATAATACAATAACATACTTCCTTTTCACTCTCTCATCCATTATGCTACTGTTGAGACAAAAAATAAGTATATTCTATGTATATTATGAACTTCATTGCTATTTTTGCTTTAAACAATTTATCTTTTTTCTTTATCAACATTACTGAGGATTTATTCCCAACAGGTTGCATCATTCAAAGTGCACCATTTAGAGAATTTTGACAACTGTTATGTACGCATGAGAATACCACCATAATTAAGCTATAGAGTATTTCCAACACTTTTCAAAAAGCGCCCCATGCCTTTTTGCAGGTCATGCCTTCCTGCCGCCCCGTCTCCAGACAACCACTGACCAGCCCTTTGTCACTACAAATTAAATTTGTATAAATGGGATCGTACAGTGTGAGCTATGTCTTGCTTCTTTCAATCTGCATGTTGTCTTGAGATTCATCCACCCATACTGTACCCTATATTAGTAGCTCTTTCTCTTTATTGTTGACTAGAATTCCATTCTGTGGCATGTATATATTATATTTCATTTATGTGTTCCCTTGCTGATGAACACGTTGGTTGTTTCCAGTTTGGAGCTATGATAAACAAAGCCGCTAAGAAAATTCATGTAAAAATCTTAGAGGAGACATATGTCTTCATTTCTCTTGAGAGTAAATCTGGAGGAGGGAAAGGATGGAGTCACATGAAAGATGTATTTTTAACTTTTTAAGAAACTGCTGAACAATTCTGCAAAGTGGTTGTGCAAGTTCGCATTCCCACCAGCAGTGTATGAGAAACCCAGCTGTCCCACGTGCCTGCCGACAAGCAGTCTTCGCAGTCTTTTTAATTGTAGTCACTGCAGAGAATACAGAGTGGTAATCCACATGGTTTGAATTTGCATTTCCCGGGTAACTAATGATCGCGAACACCTTTTCATGTGTCTGTTGGCTGATCATTTGCATGTCTCCTTCTGTTAAGTGTCTACTCAGAACTTTTGCCCATGTTCTATTGTTTCTTCCATATTCCGGATAACATCCCATTGTCAGATATACATATTACAAACACTTCCTCTCATTCTGTGGCTTGTCTTTTCATTCCCTTAATGGCAAAGATCAGTTTTGGCTCAAGGTATTTACCATCTTCCATCCATTAAATAATTTTGTAACGTCTAAATATCCTTGTTTCCTCCGTGAAAACTGCACATACAAAAGATGTGCACTGGGTCTCATCCTACAGCAAACAGGACAGACTAACCTCCTAACTGAAATCGCTGAGCTGGATGGAGCAAACTGACAAAATGTGGAAATCATCATTTGTTTAATCGTACTTGGATGAAAAGAAACCTAATTGTATTGAGCAATTGCTTAAGCAAAGAGCTTCTGCATTTATCATCCAACTTAGTCCTTGCAACAACCCCATGAAATAGGAAATCATATCCCCACTTTGCAGATTAGGAAGCTGAGGCTCAAATGATGTTACATACCAATGTCAAGGTCTCACATGTGTTAGGACAGAGCTAGGATTCAAACCCAGGGCTCTCTAGTCCTAAATATCATGCTCTTTCCATAATAAGTAACGTGCATGTCAGTGCCCTCAGGAAGGTAATATCACTTTAAATCTATGCTCTGATATAGTCACCCACGCCCTGGGCTGCAGCTGCAACATAATGACTCTCAGAGAATCCTAGATCTGGTCATTTAAAAAACACATATATGATTCAACCAGAAACAGACTCATAGACATAGAAAACAAAGTATGGTTACCAAAGGGGACAGGGGATGGGGAGGGATAAATTAGGAGTTTGGGATTAATAGACACACACACTAGTATATATAAAACAGATAAACAACAGGGACCTACTGTATAGCACAGGGAACTATACTCAATTTTGGGTAATATGCTATAATGGAAAAGAATCTGAAAATATATGTACGTAATTATATGCCTGTAGATGTGTAACTGAATCACTTTTCTGTACACCCAAAACTAACATTGTAAATCAACTACACTTCAATAAAAAATAAAATTAAAGAAAAACAAAAAATAAAAAAGAAATCTCTTTAATTTAGGATTGTGTTATAAAAGCCATGGAAAGGCAATGTTTTAAGAAGGAAGGAAGGCATAATCAATGGTGTCAAATGCTAGAAAAAAAATGTATATATGATCCTCCACTGACCTCCCCAAGCACACGCGCGCACGTGCGCGCACACGCACACACACACACACACACGCACACACACAGAGTCCTAGATATTCTCCCGGGAAGAAATGGGTGGGAAATAAAAAATAAATCGGCTAAGGAAAGAAAGACTCATGAGACTGTTAGCAGAGGTGTGGTGGGATGTCTTTGCAGTGCTGGCCCGTAATTTCACTGAGCACCAACAGGATGTGGGCCCTGCCGAGGAAAAGCCTCCCTCCGCCGGACACAGCGGTTCCCCTGGCGGCTCTTACCCATCGCCAGACCTCACATCTGCCTGCCAAGGGGATCTGAGCACCCCTTCTGGGTCCAGGGTGTGTAGGAGTCCAGGAGGCACATGTCTTAAGAAAGTCTGATATAAGGTGGTTGGAGGGGCCCAGAAGATAAACTAGGAAATAGGGGTCCTGTGGCCAAAAATATCCCTCATTTCCAAATCTGTTTATTTCACAAGAAATGCCTTTAGAAATACAAGGCATTTGCTCACAGGTGATGTCCACGGGAAGACTCAGAACCCACCATCAAGGTAAGCTTCATGAGAAATGCCGGTGGAGTATCTCTAAAACGCTTAAGTCAGCAAGAGGGCAGGATTTGATTCCAAAAATCTATTTCACAGAAAAGAGTAAATAAGATTTTTGGCAATATGATATTAAGATTACATTAAAAACACAGTCCAGTAATATTATAAATAGTACTAGAAACACTAAAAAATACTATGTTATTTGTATCACTGTAATATTAGATACTAAGTACAAGTGATACGGTATTTGATACATAGTTATAAATAGTCTCCGCTTGGTGAGGGATCTCTAGGAGTCTTAAATCTCCTGAGCTCCATTTTCTGATAAGGACAGGACTTTGGTGAATTTCTGAAACTATGAAGTGCCATTCTACCCATTCATTTACTTAACAGATTGATGAGATCTTACTTTGTGCTTGGCACAATTTTAGGTAGGTGTTGTGGAGACAGCAGTTAAAAAACAAAGAGAGAAATTTGTTGAGTTGTCACGAGGCATTAAATGAGTTTATTCTATGTAAAAATCTGAGGGCAGTGCCGGCTTGTGGTAAGCACCTGAATATGTCTTAGCTATTGTGTTAACT